AGGGCATTAAAGTTTGGGTCCCAACCATGCTTTACCAGATATGGTTTTCACTCTTGGTGGATTGAAAAGCTTAACTGGTGTAGTGGGTATTCTGCTGTTAACCTGTTTATTGCTCCCGTGTTTGGCTCCACTATTGGGTCCACTATAGAAGCTGCTATTGAAAGGATGACCACAACTAAGGTTTTGGCATTATGTAAGTGTCTAAGCCAAGATAATGGTAATAATGCTCTGAATTTATTGGATTAAATTATGGGGAGCATCATTAAAAGGGGGAATTATAGTGGCACACCCTTTCTCCACAGAAAAGACTTAACTAGACTTCTCCAGAAGTCTTCACCATAGATGATGTTGGGACTCTTAGCAAAAGAGTCTCTGCAGAAGAGTTCAATGTAGATAAACTTCCTATTTTTGTGTCGCCCCGTTTTTCTTGGCCACTGCCTGGGAAGATAACCAGCACCCCGGGTGTTAGACTTCTGCTTTCTAGATTTCAAAAACATATCCAGTATAATAGTTTGTAGAAATGTGCAAACAAGGCCTCTGGCCTTGAGCTGGTCTTCACAGAGATGTCTACATTTTTAAGATAAGTTACAAATGGGCTCCATAGTAACAGCTGGCTGGGGGAGGAAAGAAAGAAGAGAAGACCTCCCCTTCTCAGGTATTGTCCTTGAAGGGTTAACTTGCTCAAAAAAGTTAAAGAAAAAGCGGCTTTTATGTGAACTTCTGCAGACTGTGAACTTCTGAGCCCCTCCCCTTACATGCTGGGTATAAAACTCTGAAACTCCCTGAACTCAGGGTTCAGGGGATTCATTCATTACAGCAAAGGCTGTGCCCTCTGAACCTGGCTGCAGCCAAATAAAAGGGTTTCCTGGTGTCTTCGGTGCCTTGCCTCATTTGTCCCTACAACAAGTCCATCAGCAAGAGACCACACCAACCCCAGCACCCAGCTGAGGACGCTTGCTGTCAACCTGGGTCAGTGTCCACAGGCCTCACAGCCCGTCCAGCGCACAGTCAGACATGCAGCCAGACACGCGGCCTCTATGGGGACCTGAGTGGCTTCCTGGGGTCGCTTGGTGGGTCTTCAGCACAGGAGTCAGAGGAAAGTGCTCTCCCCATGGGCAGCTCCCTGCCCAGCAAGGTCACAAGTTGCCAGAAGGCAGGTGACTATTGTAGTGTCACGTGGAACAGAAGGTAAAGGAGACTTTCAGTTTGACTTTGATGCCTCTGCCTAAAAGTCCTCATCAAAAACGGGAAATATCCATTCTGCTTTCTGGACCCCTGCTGTGCTGCAGGATCAGCTCCATGTCCCCAGGGATGGGGTGAGGCCCAGGGGCCTCTGCTGAGGCCATACTTGGACCCAGGCTCGGGGACCAGTCCCAGGCTGCCTTGTGCTTATTTCCCAGTGTGGATGCAGGGACCTCATGAGGGTTGGGTGGACCAAGTGTGGTGACATAGGTGCAGTTTTACCTGCATGTGAGTGTCACATGTGTCTGAAGTGTGCCTCCTGCACCAGCGCCCAGGGCTGGGCTCATTGAAGCGCAAGCATGCCCTGCTCTGTGCCACGTGCCCCAGCTGTGTGGCTCCTGGGTCCCAGTGAACCAGCTTGAGATGTGACAGAGAAATAGAGCCTGCAGAAATGTGCCCTGAGCTTCCAGTGCTGGCCCATTCCTATTCTGGGCCTTTCCACCAGAGTTCCCTCAACTCTGCTGTTCAAGTTCTAAGACCAAGATGAAATCATTCTCAGACCCAGAGAAAATTGGGGCTGGCAAGGGATGGAGATGGAGGGCTCCGGCCTGCTTCAGAAAGACCACAAGATGTTCCTCCCATCTTCACGGTACCTGTGGGCCTCTCATGGATGCACACACGAGACAGCACTGCCCCAAAGAACATGCCGCATAGAAAGGCGGCAACTGAGACTGCAGCTCTGTGGTAGAGCCAGGGAGCAGGCAGCTGAAGTCCACCCGTGGATTGGTTCTCCACTGGGCTTGAGAAGGCCCTCCCAGGCCGATGTGGCAGCAAGAGCAACGTCCAGCATCCGCTCGTGCATTAACAGTAACCCTGAGGAAACACATGAAGCACCAAATAGAGTGCTGAAAATGGATTTGTTATCATGTACCTTCAGTTCTCCAAATGATCCAGATGGACAGAAAGATATCTTTTGGGATCAGAATTCTCCCGTGACAAAACAGTTAGGTAAAGAAGAAAAAAACAGATTTACACCACAGGTAGTGATGAGATATCAGACGTCTTTAATCGTGTTGCTCCTCAGGATGAGAAGCCAACAAGATCTGGCAGATGCTTTTTTGAACACTAGAAACTCCCATGCTGGGCATGTGGATTGGTGCAGCTGCTATTCCTTATACTCTAAGTGTAGGCAAAGAACAATCAAGAGTAAAAATTAGCCATACAAAGTTAAAAACAAATATCGAGAAAAAGAACTTATGAAATTGGCTAAACAATTTGATAAAAATATGCAAGAGCTAGATGTGGCTCAAGAGCAAAACCAGAGGAATCATGATTTTATCCAGGAGGTTTCAGAAGCAGAGACTTCACATAATTGTAATGGTTATGTACAGATGCATCCCTTACATGACATAGTTCCAATTATAGATAATGCCTTAATAAAGAAACCAATGAAAGGATACACCAGAATATCTGTGCAAATGATCAAAGCAGCAGTCAGAAGCCATTTGACCAAAATGCTGAAGCAGCCTTTAATGCCCTTTTTGATGGTTCTACCCAGAAATGTAGTGAACGGCTAAGCCAAGATCTGGCAGATGCTCTTTTGAACACTAGAAAAAATGCTTTGAAAGAGGAGAAAATTTTTATTAATGGTACTCTGGTCACTGAAAAACTGCCAAGGAAAACCCAAGATTCGCTATATCTACAGGTAGATCCTCCCATAATGACAAAATCATGCGTGACTCCCTATAGTAAAGAGCCAGAAGCTTCTAGTAAGCCCATTGGTACATTTACCACCAGTGATTTTGAGGACGTTTGGGAAAAACTACTAAGAAATGAACCTTTTGTTATGCAAAAATGTTGAAGCTGAACTTTGCCCTTCTAAAACTGCCCAGGTGACTGATCATAAAGGAATTTATACCTTTGCTAGTGAAAATGGTAGAAGTACATCAAGAACAAATAACAGTCTCAATGCCAAGTTAGGCGATTTGGAAGTATTACAAAAACACATAACAGAGAACTAAAAGATGCTGGAAAAGACAGATTTTCATCAAATCCAAATGATAAATCAAGCAAATTATCATCCAGTAGAAATAAAATGAAATCTTCAAGTAAAATGGTTTTTCAAGACAAAACTCAAGATTGTGCAGTTACATCTAATCTGACAAAAGGAAAAGAAGATATCTGTATCAATTTTACTTCTAATGTAAATACTTTTGAAAAGAAGTCTGCTTTGAACACAAAGCATTCTAGTGAATATAAAATAAGCCCATTTTAATCAGTCTTTCAAAGCACCTGTTAATATTGATCCCTTTGGCTCTTCAACTTTGGACTGTGAAGCAGTTGTTAATAAACCAGATTGGACTAATGCATCAGAGTCAGGTTCTTTCTTTGATGATTGAAATGATCCATCACTTGCCAATGAAATTTTTGAAACATGTTATTGATTAGAGACTTCTTGGGAAGCAGATAATGTGGATGATGATTTGTTATATCAAGCATGTGATGATATTGGAAGACTAACTCAGCAACCGGACATTTTAAAGGACAATGAAACATCAGAAAGTTTACTTGAGATCAATGATAGTTCCAAACATGGGGACCCCGAGCCCTGGGCTCCACACTACTTCAGCCCAGCAGCCTTGAGGGTGGAAGGGGCCAGGGCACCCCATGGCAAGGCTGCTCCAGGACAGCCTGGGCCACCCTCCAGACCTCCTGCTGTCCTGAGGACCTGGGAGACCCTGCAGGAGGCACCAGGTGCACG